ATATATATATATATAAGGAAATTACTTTTTGCATAAGTTTCACAGCTAATTTTCTCTCTACAGAAAGCTATCATGGCTGATGCTGCAGCAAGACAATTGCAGTATGAATATAAAGCTGTAAGTATGATTGTATATCTCTGCATTAAAATATCTGAATTCATGTGCTAACATTAATGTGTTGGTTATATGTTATTGTATTGAATACAGTAATAAATGAATTACTATTACTGTTATTAATTATATCGTTCTACATTGCATGTGTTACATGTGATTGCTTTTTCAGAACTCTAATCTTGTTTTACAAGCCGACGTAAGATTGATAGAACGTCGTAGTAGAGATGAAGCTACCGGCGAGGTTATGTCCCTTGTGGGAAAACTTGATGGAACACGAATGGGTGATAGAGCCCAACGTACTAAGCCAGGAAAAGCAGAAGAACGAAAAGTCAAGTAAATATTGAACTCTTGAAACAATTTTAAATATTGTGATGAGTCTATTTGACCTGAACAGTGCTCAATGACTAAAGTAAATTTTTGTATTTAATAGGCGTCAGAAGCGGGATGAAGCACAATATGATTTTGCAAGAATGAAGGGTGCAACATTGCTATCTGAAGGAGTTGATGAAATGGTTGGTATTGTTTACCGTCCAAAAACGCAGGAAACACGACAAACATACGAAGTTTTACTAAGTTTTATTCAAGAAGCTTTAGGAGATCAACCAAGAGATATCCTATGTGGTGCTGCTGATGAAGTACTAGCAGTATTGAAAAATGACAAACTTAAAGAAAAAGAGAAAAAGAAGGAGACTGAATTGCTATTAGGGTTGTTAGCAGAAGAAAGATTTGCTCTGCTAGTAAATCTTGGGAAAAAAATAACAGATTTTGGGAGTGATGAAAAAAACACTACTAATGAGGAAAACATTGATGAAACGTATGGAATTAATGTACAATTTGAAGAAAGCAGTGAAGAAGATGATGAGGATGTTTATGGAGAGATAAGAGAAAATGATGACGAGGGTGATGAAGGTGAAGAAGCTAATGATGATAGAGCTATTCATGCAGAAAATGTAACTATAAAACATTTATGTAACATTTTTATAAAGAAACTCAGAAATGGAAATCTGAATTAATTTGATTAAATTTACTTTCAGTTAGGCAGTGCAGAAGAAATGAAAAAAGAAAAACCGCTGCATCCGCTAGACATAGATGCATATTGGTTGCAAAGAAGATTGAGCAGAATTTATGATGATGCAATGGTTTCACAAGCAAGAGCTGCAGAAGTATTAGCAGTTTTGAAAGATGCTGGTGATGATCGTGACTGTGAAAATCAATTAGTGCTTTTATTGGGCTATGATTGTTTCGATTTTATCAAACAACTGAAGAAATATAGACATACAAGTATGAAATGTTTATAATAAAATATTAACTTTTTTACTTTGGAGTGTATATGATCGGCAATGCTGATTATGCATAAAATAGGTTGTTTGAATTCTTATTACTCACAGTATTCATACTCATAAATAGTATCAAAATTATTTATGTGATTTACACCGAATGGATTAATTAGTTTATCGGAGTGAAATAATTAATTAGTATAAGAATGTATTAAAATATGTGACTGATTTATTTCATTTTATTAATTACAGTTGCCTACTGCACGATGTTGGCATCATCACAGTCTGAATCAGAGCGACAAAAAATTCGAAATAAAATGAACGATGAACCTATATTAGCAAAAATTCTACGACAATTAGATACAGGTAAAGGTGACGATGATGCCGATGAAACAATGGAAGCAAGAGCACAACGTAAAAGAAGAGAAGAAAATGAAGATACTGGAGGTCCTGGAGGTCAGGTTCAGGGTACAAGAAATCTAATAGACTTAGAAGATCTTATATTCGCACAAGGAAGTCATTTTATGGCAAATAAACGCTGTCAATTACCTGATGGCAGTTTCAGAAAACAACGGAAAGGGTATATATTACGAAAATTTTTTTAGTTTGTTTTTGGAAAGTTGACAACAAAACGTTATTATTGTTATCTTTTAACATTATACATATTATTTCTAGATATGAAGAGGTTCATGTTCCAGCATTGAAGCCAAAAGCGTTTTCAGACAGTGAGAAACTTCATCCCATTGAACAGTTACCAAAATATGTACAGCCAGCATTTGAAGGTTTTAAGACCTTAAATCGAATTCAAAGTCGTTTGTATCAAACAGCATTAGAGAGTGATGAAAATTTACTATTGTGCGCACCAACAGGCGCAGGTAAAACTAACGTTGCTCTTTTATGCATGATGCGTGAAATTGGTAAACATATAAATGCAGATGGTACAATTAACAGCGATGAGTTCAAAATAATTTATGTTGCGCCAATGCGTTCGTTAGTACAAGAAATGGTTGGAACATTTGGTAAACGATTATCTACATATAACTTAACTGTGTCTGAGTTGACTGGTGACCATCAATTGACACGAGAACAAATAGCTGCAACACAAGTTATAGTATGCACTCCTGAAAAATGGGATATTATAACAAGAAAAGGTGGTGAAAAAACTTTTACTTCGTTAGTTAGACTGATCATTATTGATGAAATTCATTTATTACACGACGAGAGAGGTCCGGTCTTGGAAGCTTTGGTGGCTCGAACAATTAGAAATATTGAAACAACACAGGAAGATGTCAGGTTGATTGGTCTTTCAGCTACGTTACCTAATTATCAAGATGTGGCAACATTTTTACGTATAAAGCCGGAAACAGGCTTATTTTACTTCGATAATAGTTTTAGACCCGTTGCTTTGGAACAACAATACATAGGTATTACAGAGAAAAAGGCACTGAAACGGTTTCAAGTAATGAATGAAATTGTCTATGAGAAAACAATGGAACATGCAGGTAGAAATCAAGTTCTCATTTTTGTACATTCACGAAAAGAAACAGGAAAAACAGCACGTGCTATTAGAGACATGTGTTTGGAAAAAGATACATTAGGACAATTTCTTAGAGAAGGATCTGCATCTATGGAGGTTTTACGGACAGAAGCTGAACAGGTAAAAAATCAAGAACTTAAAGATTTGTTGCCTTATGGATTTGCTATCCATCATGCAGGTATGACGAGAGTAGATCGAACCCTAGTTGAAGATCTTTTTGCCGATAAACACATACAAGTTCTAGTATCCACTGCAACCTTAGCTTGGGGAGTTAATTTACCAGCACACACAGTTATTATTAAAGGGACTCAGGTTTATAATCCGGAAAAAGGTAGATGGGTTGAATTAGGTGCTCTAGATGTACTTCAAATGCTAGGCAGAGCTGGTCGTCCACAATACGACACAAAAGGTGAAGGCATTCTTATCACAAATCATAGTGAACTCCAGTATTATCTATCTCTTCTAAACCAGCAACTGCCCATCGAGTCACAGTTAATAAGTAAAATGTCGGACATGCTAAATGCTGAAATTGTCTTAGGCACTATACAAAACATTAGAGATGCTGTTACTTGGTTGGGATACACTTATTTATACATAAGAATGCTTCGTTGTCCAAATCTATATGGTATAAGCCATGATAAGTTAAAAGACGATCCATTACTTGAATTGCACAGAGCAGATCTTATTCATTCTGCAGCAGTAGGATTGGATCGTAGTGGTTTAATTAAATATGATCGAAAATCAGGAAATTTCCAAGCTACTGAATTGGGACGCATAGCATCACATTATTACTGCACACATGACACAATGTCTACATACAACCAGTTATTGAAACGTACTTTAAGCGAAATTGAATTGTTTCGAGTGTTTTCATTATCTGGCGAATTCAAACATATAAATGTTCGAGAAGAAGAAAAATTGGAATTACAGAAGTTGATGGAAAGAGTACCTATTCCAGTGAAAGAAAGCATAGAAGAACCAAGTGCAAAAGTTAATGTACTTCTACAAGCATACATTTCTCAGCTAAAGCTCGAAGGATTTGCCCTTATGTCAGATATGGTCTTTGTTACACAGTCTGCATCGAGGTTAATGAGAGCAATTTTTGAGATTGTTTTGTTTCGTGGCTGGGCACAACTAGCTGATAAGTGTTTGTCATTGTGCAAAATGATAGATAGGAGAATGTGGCAATCAATGTCTCCTCTGAGGCAATTCCGTAAAATGCCAGAAGAAATTGTGAAGAAAATAGAAAAGAAAAATTTTCCGTGGGAAAGATTATATGATCTTGGACCAAATGAAATTGGGGAATTAATTCGTGTACCGAAGTTGGGCAAAACTATTCATAAATATATTCATCAGTTTCCGAAGTTGGAATTGTCGACACATATTCAACCGATAACGCGATCTACATTAAGAGTAGAACTAACTATTACACCTGATTTTCAATGGGATGAAAAGGTACATGGTGCTTCTGAGGCATTTTGGATTTTAGTTGAAGACGTAGATTCTGAAGTAATACTTCATCACGAATATTTTCTATTGAAAGCGAAATACGCAATAGACGAACACTTGATCAAATTCTTTGTACCAGTGTTTGAGCCCCTACCACCGCAATACTTCCTACGAGTTGTATCTGATAGATGGATTGGAGCAGAAACTCAATTGCCTGTCAGTTTTCGTCATTTAATTCTTCCAGAAAAGAATTTACCACCGACTGAATTGCTTGATTTACAGCCGCTTCCAATTACCGCATTACGCAATTCCAAATTTGAAAGTATCTATACTGATAAATTCCCACAATTTAATCCAATTCAAACACAAGTGTTCAATGCTGTTTATAATTCAGATGACAATGTGTTTGTCGGAGCACCTACAGGTTCAGGAAAAACAACAGTGGCAGAATTTGCGGTGTTACGTCTACTCGTTCAGAACTCTGAAGGTAGATGTGTGTACATGGTTAGCAAGGAAGCATTAGCAGAATTAGTCTATGCTGATTGGTCGGTAAAATTCAATCAACTTCTGGGAAGAAAAGTAGTTTTACTGACTGGTGAAACAGGAACAGATCTTAAGTTGCTTGCAAAAGGACAAATTATAATTACAACAGCAGATAAATGGGACGTTTTATCACGAAGATGGAAGCAAAGAAAGAATGTGCAGAATATTCAACTTTTTATTGTTGACGAGCTTCAATTGATTGGTGGCGAAGAAGGGCCTGTATTAGAAATAGCATGTTCGAGAGCTCGTTACATATCTTCTCAGTTGGATAAGCCAACCAGAATTATTGCATTATCAGCTTCACTAGCAGATGCCAAAGACGTGGCTCAGTGGCTAGGTGCACCCGCCGCAGCAACTTTCAATTTTCACCCGTCTGTTAGACCTGTACCTTTAGAGTTACATGTGCAAGGAATAAATATTACTCATAATGCATCAAGATTGGCTGCTATGGCAAAACCAGTATATAATGCGATATTGCGTTATGCTTCTCACAAGCCAGTTATTGTTTTTGTGCCTACTCGTCGTCAAGCTAGATTGACAGCCATTGATTTATTGACTTTCACTGCAGCAGAAGGCCAACCTTCTCGATTCTTCCATGCAGAAGAAGCGGATATTAAACCATTCTTAGATAGAATGACTGATAAGACATTAAAAGAAACACTTTCACAAGGAGCTGCTTATCTTCATGAAGGATTATCTGCGGATGATCGACGCCTAGTTGAACAACTCTTTGATAGTGGTGCTATTCAAATAGCTATTGTCACAAGAGATCTCTGTTGGGATTTGTCTATAAACTGTCATCTTGTAGTTGTCATGGATACCCAGTGCTACAATGGAAAGACACATGCTTACGAAGATTATCCTATTACGGATGTCTTGCAAATGGTAGCCCGAGCAAATCGACCATTAGAGGATGATGATGCTAAATGTGTTTTGCTTTGTCAGAGTTCAAAGAAAGATTTCTTTAAGAAATTTTTGAACGAACCTTTGCCTGTAGAAAGCCATTTGGATCACAGATTACACGATCATTTTAATGCGGAAATAGTAACAAAAACGATTGAAAATAAACAGGATGCAGTCGACTATCTTACATGGACCTTCTTATATAGAAGACTTACACAAAATCCCAATTATTACGGATTGCAAGGTGTTACGCATAGACACTTATCCGATCACTTATCTGAATTAGTTGAAAGTACTTTAAGTGATTTGGAACAAGCTAAATGTGTTGCTGTAGAAGATGAAATGGACACTTTGCCTCTAAATCTTGGAATGATTGCAGCTTATTATTATATCAATTATGCAACGATTGAATTATTCAGCCTTTCTTTAAATAATAAAACCAAAATCAGAGGCTTACTGGAAATTATATCAGCAGCTGCAGAATATGAAACAGTACCTGTTAGACAACGGGAAGAAAATTTGTTACGAAGCTTGGCAGCTCGGCTTCCACACGCTCCGCAAGCCACGAGAATGGCGGATCCTCATGTAAAAGCACAACTTCTGTTGCAGGCACATTTGTCTCGCATACAACTTGGCCCAGAACTCCAAAAAGATACGGAATTAGTATTAAGCAAAGCCGTTAGGTTAATACAAGCTTGCGTCGATGTTCTTAGTTCATCTGGTTGGTTGGCACCTGCAGTTGCAGCTATGGAACTGGCACAAATGGTCACTCAAGCAATGTGGTCTAAAGATTCTTATTTAAAGCAATTGCCACACTTTACTTCTGAAACAATTAAACGTTGCACTGATAAGGGAGTAGAGACTGTATTTGATGTAATGGAACTGGAGGACGATGATAGGAATCGTCTTCTACAATTATCTGAAACACAAATGGCAGACGTTGCCAAATTCTGCAATCGTTATCCCAATATAGAAATGTCCTATGAAGTACAGGACAAGGATAAATTACGTAGCGGTGGTACAGTGAATGTTATTGTTCAGCTTGAAAGAGAAGATGAAGTTACTGGACCAGTCGTGGCACCATTCTTCCCACAGAAGCGCGAAGAGGGATGGTGGGTGGTTATTGGTGACCCAAAGACTAATTCTTTACTGTCTATTAAAAGATTAACGCTACAACAGAAAGCAAAGGTTAAACTTGATTTTGTAGCACCTGCTCCTGGACAACATTCCTATACCTTGTATTTTATGAGTGATGCTTACTTAGGATGTGATCAAGAGTATAAATTCACAATAAATATAGGAGAATATGAGTCGGATGCAAGTTCAGGATCAGAGTCAGATTAAAAAAGTAAACTCGTATATTTTGTCTACTGTGTAGACAACGTTTAACGTAGTTTTATAATTAATTATAAATGTAACATATTGTGTAACACATACTGTACATATTGAGATTAGATGATAATATAAGAAATGCAACTAATTATTTACGTAAAAAATAGTTATTTTTCACCATTTGTATGCAAAACCAATACAAACATTCTTCTTCACCATTTTCCGTGTTATTATTATATTAATCATTACATTCGAAAAGCAAATTTTTATAATAAAGAATGTATAATTTCAGTTACAAAATACATATGTTAATTGTTCAAATGCACATCTCTATATGTAGAAACAATAAACAAAGGTATATATAGTCCGTTATAGGCTCAGATAAAAAAGTTAAAAAACGAGAGTTTCTTTATTTTCCTTTGTCATTCCAAGTAATAGCAAAATTTAAAAAAGGCATTTTAGTCATTGTCT